CCCCCCCCCCCCCCCCCATCCCTTTCCGCCGCCGCGACCAGGAGACGAGCCCCCCGAGGCCCCACCCCAAGAGAACCCCCCAAGCGCCCCAGACGGGTCGGCGTTGGCGCGGGCCTCCTGGATCTTAGCTTGCAGGAAAGCCACAGCAGAGGGGGCACATCTCTTGTCGGTGCCTCCCGCAAGCTGTCTGCGGGCCTCCGCAGTCATGGCCGAGCGTCGGCACCTTCTGCAGAACAGCCTATATCCTAGCTCCACAAGATCGTGCTCATGCAGCGCGAGAGTCAGCCTAGGTTGGGTCGGGCCCTTGGCCCTCGTCTGGCCGTCGGCGCCTTCGGCCGCGCCCCTCTCGGACCACAGCTCAATCCTACACCTCCGCTGGACCGCCCAGGCGAGGCAGCGACCACACACCTTGGCACTCGAGATGCAGTCCTTATAGAACCTACAATGCCCCTCGGGCAGGTTGACCGACAGGGCTCCAAGCTTGGCGAACACATCCGCCAACCTGTTTCCGACGACCCAGAGGGGGGGGGGGCTCCAGGAGCGGGGAAAAAACACACCCTCATCACTCAGGTGGGACGGTGCCCAGGCGAAGCTGGGGGGCTCACGCTGGAGGCTGTTGAGCTGCCGCCAGACGCTCGGGTAGGCAGCACTCGCCGCCGACAAATTACCCCCTCCCCAACCTTCCAATGGCGCCCTTCGTTCACAAACTCGAGCAGATCACTTATAATCAGCCTCGCTGACGGCAAGTGCTGGAGGGCCTTGGGCACCGCAACTCTCTCCGCTTTGCCTGCAGCCTGCTGGCCGCCTGCGAGACCACCGCGCGCCGCTCTCACAGGAACTCCGTTGGCATCAATCATGGCGGCAGCCCAGCCGCACCGACGCAACTCGGGAACATCACCGTGGTATCCCGAGCCGTCCGTGCACACCCTCTCGCTCCAACCTTCACTCGGCGACGTCCAGTCGCCCCAGAGAAAGCTCGGGGGGTCCTCTGGCGGCGGTGGCACAACAACGCGCGGCCACCGTGGGATGCCCACGCCAACCGCGAAGGAGTCCGTGTCCTGGCGCCCCTCTCCTACAGGTCCGTGCCCGAGCATCGCACCCCTAGCCGTAGCCAGCTGGGGGTCGAGGCCACGCTCCTCTGCATCGTCCAGCAGTCGCTGTGTCAGCGCTGGGCACTCGACGAAGGCATGCCCGAGGGGCTCCATCCCATGCGGGCGCGCTCTGCAGCCCTGGTGCTCACAGAGTCCTTTCTTATAGAGCTTGGCCCGATGCCACAGGGAGTCAGCCCAGAGACTGCGAAGCGCCCCCGTCCTCCCCGCCCCATTCCCCCCCCCCCCCCCACCACGCACGCACGCACAGGCACGCAGGCCTCTCGGCCACAGAGGCGGCGTCTTGGGGCAGGCGCAGCGCCCCGCCTCCCCACGCACAGTGCACGAGCAACTCGTGGCGTCATGGTGTGCCACGATCTGCCTCATCTGCCACCTCTGGGCCCCCTGCCTCAGGAGGTCTCGAAACAAAAAACGTGGTGGAATTGCCAGCAACGAAACCACTGGTCCTTCATCAGGTTTGACCATCAGCGACGAGAATATCGCCCAGCCTACACGTTTGAACGACAGGATGACAACCTTCAGCGGTCCCCTGGCCGCCGCCCACGTGAGCTTGTCGCCGCCGACCTCCACCTTGTCCAGCGTGGCTCTCCAGGCCCGCTCCAGCGCCCCCAAGCTGATCTCCTGGTGCCAGATCACCCTGGCGTACTGCATGATCGGCTCGACCGTGGCAGCGAACACCGGGTCGTAGTAGGGGTTCCGCTGGCTCGCCAGGTGGAAAGTGATGCTGCCTCCTCGCCCTTTGGCACCTGCCAGTCTCGCCGCTTCCGAGCGCATCGCGCCCAGCTCACTCGGCGAAACGCCTCCCACCGCAGCTTCATGTGCCGTGGAAGGCAGCAGGCCCGTCTGCCACAGGCAGGAAGCCTTGGCGCCAGCGGCCCTCATCAAAGTCCTCGCCCTTCTCATCCTTGGCCTCAACTTCTCGAGCCTGCTCTTAGCCACCGTCCTTCTCGCCTTCGTGCCGTTGAGGTCGTGGCCGAGGTTCCTCATGTGCTGCTTGGGGCGGGTCTTGACCTTCGAGGCGAAGGGCTTCACCGCCGTCTGGCCTCGCATCGACGAGGCAACATACCCCGACATGCCCACCTGCAGCTCCAGCCCGACCTCCGCCGCCTCGTACCCGTACCTGAGCACCGCCTCCAGAAGCACCCGCACGCCACGCAGGTCCTGGCCCACCCACTGGACCGAGGTATCGTCCGCCAGCGTCCTGGGGATGACGTCGAACTTGGCGAGCCTCTGGAGCGACCGTGCCGTGGCCACCACCAGCACCGCCATCGAGTTGGAGCAGCCCGCCAGGATGCCCTGGTGCGCCGTGTAGCCCGCCGATGACGAGCCAAACGCCTTGAGCCTCCTCGGCACGTGGTGGTACTTCAGGATCGACCACCTGAGGCGAAGAGGATACCCCATGCTTCTGGCCTCACCTAGCACTCGTGCGGCTGAGCAGGGAGCAGGGAGGAGGGAGGAGGGAGGAGGGAGGGAGGAGGGAGAAGTGGAGGGAGGGAGGAGGGAGGAAGAAGGGAGGGAGGACGGAGGAGGGAGGGAGGGAGGGAGGGAGGAGGGAGGGAGGGAGGGAGGGAGGGAGGGAGGAGGAGGGGGGAGGGAGGAGGGATGAGGAGGGGCAGGAGGAGGAGCAGGGAAAAGGACCGAGGCGGCCTGTAGGGCGAGGGCGAGGGAGCAGGGGAGGCGCGTGCGCAGTGGGGCCTTGCCGCCCCGCTGCTCCCGCAGCTTCGAGTCGAGGCACAGCAAGCGGCAGCCGTACCAGGACAGGTTGGCCTCTGCGCCCTGCCCCTCCCCAGGGCCAGTCCCTGCTGCGGTCGGGAACTTGTGCTTAGCGTGCCGCCCTGGCGGCCCCACCGACATGCTACAATGGGGGCCCGACCACGAAAAACCCTCCGCAAGAAACCCAACCCTGAGACCCCAGGACGTCCACAGATGTTCGGCGTGGGAGCGTCAGGCTCTCCATCGCAGAACCATCGCAACCCAAGAAACTCATGGCACCCTGGAGGCAAAGCGGGGTGCTTCCTGGCGTGGGCCCCCACTGTATGCCTTGCGAAATGGATCGCGTGCCGCCCACCTCCGCGGGGCGGGAGGCCTGGAGAGGCTCGGGACGGTGGCGCTCGGGTTCAGTCGGGCGTGTCCCCCTACAGGGGGGTTTTCGACGAAAAACAAAAGATACCCCCAAAGGGTCAAACAAAAACTGAACAACGTAGTCCCAAGGCTATGTTTGGACTATTGTTTGACTCTTTTTGGGGTATCTCTTATTTTTCGTCGAAAATCCCCCTGTAGGGGGACAGGCCCGACTTAACGCTCGGGGACCGCGACGTGGGCGTCGCGCCGAGGCGCGGTGGGCCAGACCCCGTGGCGCGGCGTGCTGTGCCACAGGTTCTGACCGAATGCGCAAGAGCCCGCCAGGGCAAATCCCTGCTACGACGTTTCGGCTGCGCGCCAGGAGCAAATGCAGCAACTGTGTGCGATGACGCCCGTCATCAGCCCCGCCTCCCAATTCCTTGGTCACGTCACGACTCGTGCCGGCGCCGTCCGGGAATCGAAGCATTCCCGACGGGCGCCCGCGCGAATCGTGATGCTGCCGGACCCCTTTCCCCCTCTTCGTCCGGTCAAGCCCGTCATCGCCAGGCGATGCAACACCTGTCTCAAGAGTCCGTAAGCAACAGTGGCCTCTGGTGCGTGGCTTCCAGTGGGCCGCGATGGGGAGCCCAAGCGCAAAAGCGCGCAAGCCGCTGCCACAGGTGGGGCTGCTGAAGGAAGGAACGCGAAATAAGGAACGAAGCCCCTGATTGGCCCTGTAAGCGCCTCCGTGCCCCGGGAGGGCACGAGGAACAGCACTGTAGGAACCTCAGGAACATCGAGCCCCTTCTGAATCCAAACTCTTCCTTGTTTCAGCGTCTTGACTGTTTCGCATCGCATTCTGCGATCGGCGGACCTCAGTGGGCATGGACCAAAGGTCACGCCAGCGCAGGGTCCCTCTTACATGCAGCCAGGCCGACACTGGCTGGAGAAGGTCGAAGGGCCCGACGAGGGCCCCCTGGAGGCCGACAGTTGCCCAAAACCTTGCGGCGACCTTTTCTTGTTTGGAAAATATGGAAAGGTGGGGGTCACGCGTCTTCTCGGCATCCCCTTGCTGCCGTTGCGCCTCGGCCCATCGCACAGGCGGGAGGGAGGAGGAGGACGAGGAGCAGGAGGAGGAGGAGGAGGAGGAGGAGGAGGAGGAGGAGAAGGAAGGAAGGAAGGAAGGAGGGAGGATGAGGGAGGAGAAGGGAGGAGGAGGGAGGAGGAGAAAGGAGGAGGAGGAAGGAGGAGACTCGCGCCGTGGTTTTGGTCAAACGCCTTATTCGGCCCCCACCCTACTCCTGCTCTTCCTCCTCCTCTCTCTCTCCTCCCCCCCCCTCCTCCCCCTCCTACCCCTCCTCCCTCCTCCTCCTTCCTCCCCCCCCTCCCCAACCTCCCCCTCCTCCTCATCCTCCTCCCCTCCTCTCCTCCTCTCCTCCTCCTCCTCCTCCTCCTCTTCCTCCCTCCTCCCCCTCCTCCTCCACCTCCTCCTCCTCCTGCTGATCCAGAGTTAGGAGGTACCATCGGAGGCGGCCACCCCCTCGTTTAGCGATCCACTCTTCAGTGAAAACTGCCACTTGCCGCCGCTCGGACGTCCATTTCCCGTGCACTTTTCGGTTTGGTGCGTGATTTTGTTTGCTCGATGATCCAGGATGGTACTCGATGGTTCTCGCCGAGAAAGGATGCACGCGTCCGAGCGATGCCAAGCCAACAGGCGGATTGGTACCAAAAATGAAAAGATTCAAAGCACAGTCAGAACTTGGCAAGCCATACTCCACAGATCGTCCCCGGACTATTGTTTGGGGCTGCTGTTGAAGATCCCTCCGGTAGAAGGACACGCCCGACTTGAGCCAAGGGCAACACAGCTGCCCTGGCAGGCAGTTTCGCGTGGGGCGGTGTCCAGTCCTGCTTCGCCTGACCTCCTGGGCTTTACTTGGCGATCTGCAGAACTGGATGCACTCCCAGGCCGACGGGATGAGCAGGTGCGAGAGGCAGAAAGAGAGAGAGAGAGAGAAAGAGAACGGTAGAGGGAGAGTAGAGAGAGAGAGAGAAAGAGAGACAGAGAGAGAGAGGGCGGGGTAGAGAGAGAGAGAAAGAGAAAGAGAGGGAGAGAGAGAGAGAGAGAGAGCGAGAGTGTGTGTGTGTGTGAGAGATAAAATGACAAAAGAAGGAGAGGGGAGGGGGTGAAGCGATATACGTTTGTCGACGCGAGAATCCCCGAAGGCGCATGCATTTGCCACCGCGTCCTTATCTGCAACTTTCTGAGCGCAAGTGACTTGAATGTGAGCGAGTCTGATAACGAGCGGTTGACTGTAAGCGAGTCTACGAATGAGCGGCTGATGTGTATGGGTCTACGTGCGACTGGGCCTGAGCAGGTGTGGCTGGATAGAAGCGACTCTGGGTGTTCGTGGGCTTGAGTGTGAGTGCATCGGGGCATGATTCGGTCTGGACGTTCGTGTGTGGATCCTGCAATTTGGGCTCCCGGGGGTTCCCGACAGTACTGGCGCGAAAAAGGCCCTGCGTCATGCCACCCTGCGGCCCTCCCGGGGGGAGGCCCAAGTGCCATGCGTGCCACATCGCGGTGGTCACGGGGCTCTGAACACCTGCGCACGCTCTGGGCCGAAACGAGCGTGTCGCTTCAGATCTCCCCACACGCTGGGCGCGGACGGCCCGTGGCACACCCCTGGCCCAGCCTCCCTGGGGCGGCTGAGTGCCATGGCTGCTGCACTGTGGCGATCATGGGGGTCTGACGACAAACTCGTCCACTGGGCTGGGCAACAACGAGAATTCCGCATGGAGGGCTCCCGCAACCATGGTGCGAACGTGACTGTGAAGTACGCCTGGCCTGCCCCCTTGGGTGGCTTAGATTGCAGGTCTGATGCAGCGCGGTGATAACAGGGCTCTGAAGCAGATTCGTATACTGGACTTAGGTCGGACATGCCCCCCTAAAGGCGGATCTTGGACGAAACATCAAAATAGAAAAACAAATTCCAATAAGAGTCAACAATGGTAGAAAAATCGTCCCCGAACTACCTTTTGACTATTTTTTATATTCCTCCTGTAGAGGGACAGGCCCGACTTAATCATGGGACTCTGAAGCACATTCGTATAGTGGACCCGAACAAACGTCTCGCCTGAGAGGCACACACAGTCTGAAGGCGAACTGGCCTGCGGAACACCGCGGGTCAAGCCCCCCTGGGTAATTCAAGCATGCCGTGCCTGCTACATCGCGGTGGCCATGACGCGCTGCGAAAACGTTTGTCGACTGGGCCCAAGCAAGCGTTTCGCATGAGAGGCCCCCGCAATCTAGGCGCGAACGAGCCCGTGAAATGCCCCTGGCCGCAATCTGGGCGCGAACGAGCCCGTGAAGTACCCCTGGTTGGCATCTCCGTGGGTGACTCAAATGACATGCCCGCTGCATCGTGGTGATCATGGGGTTCTGAACAAAGATTCGACGCGGGGATCCCCATATATTACGTGCGTATCTGTCTAACGAGCCTGGGTGTGAGTGATGTTGCGTACGGCCGACTGCGTACAACAGGGTCTGAATGTTAGTAGGCCTGGGTATGACTGGGTCTCCTCTGGCAGCTCCCACTCGGCATGCCCAAGTGCCATGCGTGCTACACCGCGGTGGTCGTGGGGCTCTCACGAGAAACGCATCGGGGGCGCCAAACCAGCGCTTCGCCCGGGACTTGCCCAGAAGCTGGGCCTGAACAAGCCCGTGGACACCCCCTGGCGACCCCCCCATGGGATGCCCAATGACCGTGCCTGCTGCGTCGCAGTGATAATTGGACTCCCTACAAAGGGGAGCCGGGGGGGGGGGGGGCCCAAAGCAGCGTTGCCCTCGAGACGCCCCGAACATGTGTGCGCGAAGGGGCCCGTGATACGCCCCTGGCGGCTCCTCCCTCGGAGGCCCAAGTGCTATGCCTGCTACGTCGCGGTGGTCATAGGCCTCCGAAACGCAACGCGTTCATAGCCGCCAGCGGGCGTTTCGCTCCCTGGCATCCCCAGCACCTGGCCGCGAACAGGGCCCGTGGAGCACCCCTGGCCGACTCCCTCTTGGGCGATCCAGATACCACTCCTGCTACATCGCTGGGATCAGAGATCAAAGGACTCTGGGAAGAGACGCGTCCACGGCGGCGAGCGGGCGTCTCGCTCGAGACGTCCCCACCATCTGGCCGCGAGCGAGGCTCGTGCCATACCCTTCTGGTCGGCCTCCCTCTGGACGTGGCAGGAGTGGCACCCCCGCGACCTCGCGCTGGCCGTGGGGCTCTGACAAGAGTGCGCGATCCGCGCCGCGAGGAGGCGCTTCGCTCGAGACGCCCCCGCAGTCTGGCCGCGGGCAGGCCCGTGGAATGCCTCTCTTCTTCTCGCAGCAGAGCAAGGCAGGAGGGAGAGCCTGCTGCCCCTCAAGGGGGCCCCCCCCCCAGGCCAGGAGAGCCCAGAATCGAGTCGACAAGCCGGATCGACGATCGACACGAATCGGACCGACGGATATCGGCAGCCCAGTCGAGAAAAGTCGAATCGGCAGACACCGGCAGTTTAGCAGGCCTCCATGGAGAAATCGGCGCCCGGATCGGAATCCGAAACATCGGAGCGAGTCGGAATTGGAAGCCATCGAAATCGAAGCGGATCGAACCGGAGGAACTCGCCATCGCTCGGACGTCCATTTCCCGTGCATGTTCGGTTTCGTGCGTGTTTTTTTGTTGCTCGATGGTCCAGGATCGTGCTCAATGGTTCTCGCCGAGAAAAAATGCACGCGTCCGAGCGATGCCAGGGGAATCGGAATGAGCCCTGCAGGGGGGCCGTCTGCCCCAGGCCCGCGGAACACCCCCGGTCTGCTCCCCCTGCATGGGTGCGCGGCCGCGCGCGCCCCGCGCAGGCCTGCCTGGCGCGCGTGCTGGCCGGGCTGCCGACGAGGAGGAGGAGGAGGAGGAGGAGGAGGACGAGGAGGAGGAGGAGAACACTGAGGAGGATGAGGACACTGAGGAGGAGGAGGAGGAGGAGGAGGAGGAGGAGGAGGAGGAGTAGGAGGAGGAGGAGGAGGAGGATGACACTGAGGAGGAGGAGGAGGAGGAGGAGGAGGAGGAGGAGGAGGAGGAGGACACTGAGGAGAAGGATGATGAGGATGAGGATGAGGATGAGGACGATGATGATGAGGAGGAGGAGGAGGTGGAGGAGGAGGAAGAGAAGAAGGAGGAGGAGGAGGAGAGGAGAGAGGGCAGAATTACCACCCTTGTAAAACTACGCTGCAAGCGAGGCCGAATGGGAATTGCACCCAAAAGAAGACGCCAGCAAGGCAGGACTGTTCTGTCAACGCCGAAGCCCTGTCAATAGAAGCCTCTCCTGAGAGGACCCAAATCTCCGACGCCGTGATCTTCGTCAAGACGTGGGCCCCCAAAGGTCTGGACCCTCTCCCCAGGGCTGGTGTTTCACCCCGAGCCGTTGTTTGACACTCCTGGGGCCCGGTGGAGCCCCGCAGGAACCGAACACTGGCAACAAAAAACTTCGCGCCGTGATGCCTCCAGAAGAGAACGTTTGAACGCCACCTGGTTGGGGTCCGAGGAGATGGGTCGGAGGATCTCGCCGCATCGCCGACACGTCGGCGATGCACTGGCGACGCCGGCGTGGCATCGGCGACGTGGGCGTGGAGTAAATTGGGCCCCACGTCGAGCCGCACCGCCTGGCGCGACCCTCCGACCAGCTCTGCGCGGACCTCTTGTGGGAAGCCTAGACTCAGGGCCCCATCTCTGAGCCGACGGGACGCGCGCGCGGGCACTCCAAGGGCCTCCGTCCCTCAGGGCCCCATCTCTGAGCCCCCGGCGGGACGCGCGCGCGCTCGCGGGCTGCACGAAGACGAGACGAGCCCGCGGAAGCCATCTGGGAAGCCTGGAAAGGGGTGGGAGGGAGGGGGAGGAGAGCGCCCCTGGCGTGCCACGCCGCCCCCTCCTCGATGCCGAAGTGCACGACCCAGAAGACGCGGGGCAGACTCGCCTGCAACAAAAGGCAAACCGCGCGCCGCCCTCGCGCGCGCGCGCCCCTCCCCCGCCCTGCCACCGTTGCCGCGCCAGCCCCTCCCCCGCCTCCGCTCTGCCCGTCCCCTTGGCCTCCTCCTTGCCTCCTCCACGATTCCTCCTCCTCCTCTTCCTCTCCTCCTCCTCGCCTCCTCGCCTCCTTGCCTCCGTGCCTCCTCCTCCTAGTCCTCCTCCTCCTCCTCCCTCCTCGCCTCCTCTCCCCTCTCCTCCGCCTCCTCTCCCTCCCTCCTCCTCCCCTCCTTTTCCCTCCCCTCCTCCTCCTCCTCTCCTTCTCGCCTCCCCCTCCGCCTCCGCATCCGCCTCCGCCTCCTCCTCCTCCTTCTTCTCCCCCTTCTCCTCATCCTGGTCCTCTTCGCCTCCTCCTCCTCCTCCTCCTCTTCCTCCTCCTCTTCCTCCTCCTCCTCCTCCTCCTCCTCTTCCTCCTCCTCCTCCTCCTCCTTGCCTCCCTGCCGCCGCTGCCCCGCGCACGCCGCGCGCCAACCCGCTGCCGTTCCCGCCGCACCATCAGAGGAAGGATACGGTGGGGGAAATGTTGCTTAGGCGTGTCGCGGCGGCTGCCCCAGCGACACGCCATGTCCTGCGAGCGGATAGCGTGCCGCTCCGCTCCGCGGGCCGGGGGGCTCGGAAGAGCTCGGGACGTTGACGCTCGGGAGTGGGGAAGATGACAGCGTGGTGCGCCGAAGCGCAGTGGGCCAGAACCGGCGGCGCAACACGCCATCCAAAGATTCCCGAGTGGAATCGGTATGACCGTGCGTACACTTCCGGAGATCCGAGCGGATTGTTCAGATCGGCGCGGGGTCTCCCTCCCTGGCGCGCGGAGCGCGCCAGGGGGCGCCGCCATGGAGGGCCAAGCGCCGATCCGAGAAATCTGGGCGGACCTACGACAAATTTCATTTTAGGAGGCGTGTGGAACGCAACCATCCCTGCTCGACTCAACGATGCGGCAACTGCAATGCGATGGGAAAGGTTACCAAACGATCCAGGAAAGCTCAACAAACCGGCTTGCAATTGGCGAGTCCATGCAGCCTGGGAGAAAATGAGTTCGCGGCAAGCAAATGTCTCCCAGTGGCGCAAAATGGCCACCGAGATCGCACAAAGGACGCGGGTGGAGGACGACAAGGAGAGGCGGAGGGGGAGATTGAGGAACAGCAAAGCGAGTGCGCAGCGTGCTTGCTAAAACCGATTGCCCTGGCGTGCGGGAAAGCAACTGGACATTGTGTTTCAGCACCTGTCGGCCCCTTTTAAAACATCCAGTACAGCATGAGGAAGGAGAAGACAAAGTAGTATTTAATGGGAGAGGAAGGAGAGATAGAGAGAGAAAGATAGAGAGAGAGAGAGAGAACGAGAGAGAGAGAGAGAGACAAAGAGGGAGAGAGAGAGCAGACGGCCAGGAGACATGGAGAAACAATATGTTGGAGCACAGCCTAGCAAAACAAATGCTGCAAACAAGCGCCCATGGTCATATTAAAGGGGCAAAGCGGTCATTCACTGTCCCTGGGCGCGTGTCTGAAGTGGGGTTCTGCAGTGCAGAGTGTTGTTGCATGTTGAACCCGCTACCAAATAATAATTATTAATGATTCCCCCCTCCGGTGATCTTTGTATTTTTCAATTGAAGTGCTTCCTCCGGGACTCGCACCCTTTGTTTAACCAGGGAAAGTCAGGGGGCTCAAACTGGGTGGTTGGCCCCCAGTTTACAAAAAAAAACAGCGGCTTCCGCCCGTCCGCACAGTAGATTTCTAAAGTGTGCTCTCGCGCGGGACTTCCTCTCAATGTGTCTACGAATCGCGCTCTCGCGTGGAACTTCCTCGCAGTTTATTCAGACGACGATGAGCCCTCGGCGCTCAGTAATTAACCTCTTACTTTTACTTGTCTCCTACTTTACTTGTTAATCGCGCTATCGCTCGAGACTTCCTCGCGATTCATGCAGGACCCACGCTTCAGCAACTCGCCTGCTCGACTCGGCCCTCCTTCCCAAGCTGCCCGCTATGGGTCTGCCCACCCGATCTGCCCGTCTGGTTCTACATTTGTTTTCTGCTCCTTGCCCTCCTCCTGCTAATTTATCGCGTGTTCCAAACAAAATCCTCCCACCTTCCACACGTATTTTCTTCCCTTGTTTTAGGGGCTGCCCTAAATGCGATTGTTGTTTTTGTTGTGGTTGCTGGTGTTGAACTTTCACGGCTGACGAATTATTATTGTTGATCCCCCCTCTGGTGACCATTGTGGCCTTTCCATTGAAATGCCCCCCCCGGGGCTCGCACCTTGTTTTATATCGGGGAGACCCACGGCGTTCAAAACTGTGTCGTTGGCCCCCGGGTTACAACAACAACAACAGCAGCAACACCAACAACAACAACATAAGCTCTCACCTGAGACTCCATCAATTATTTAGCCAGGGCCCCCGCACCCGCACATTTTACCCAGACATCGCGCTCTCGCTTGGGATTTCCGTGCGCTTCATTAAGAGATCGCTCTCTCGGCGCTCTGGAGTCGCGCTCTCGCTGGAGACTTGCTTGCAATTTACTGAAGATTCGCGCACTTTCGCTGGAATGCCTGGCATTTGCTCAAGCGCCGCACTCCCGACACTCAGGCACCCAGAACTCTCGCTTACGTTTAAGACTCCCTCAGAGCTTACTTAGGAATCGGGATCTCGCTGCCCTTCGTGGCCCCGGTGCAGCCCTTCGTGGCCCCCTCGCTGCCCTTCGTGCCCCCTCGCTGCCCTTCGTGTCCCCCTCGCTGCCTTTCGTAGCCCCGCTGCAAACTTCGTTGCCCCCTCGCTGCCTTTAGTGGCCCCGTTCAGACCTTCGCGGTACCCTCGCTGCCCTTCGTGGCCCCATTGTAGCCCTCATGGCCCCCTCGCTGCCCATCGTGGCCCCGTTGCAGCCTGTCGTGGCCCCATGCGCACGCCCTTCGCGGCCCCGCTGTCGCCCCTTGTGGCCCCCTCGCTGCCCTTCGTGACCCCCTTCGCGGCCCCCTCGCTGCCTTTCGTGGCCCCACACATGCATGCCATTCGTGGCTCCCGCTTGTTCGCGCCCGTCGTGGCCCCATATGCTTACGCTTCGTGGCATCGCCGTCGCCGCTCGCGGCCCTGGCGCTGCCCTCAGTGGCCCCGTCCTTGCCCAATGCGGCCCAATATACGCACGCTCTTCGTGACCCCCGCGCGTTCGCGCCCGTCGCGGCCCCATACGCATGCCTTTCGCGGCCCCGCTGTCATCCTTTGTGGCCCCCATCGCTGCCCTACGTGGCCCCGTGGCTACCCTCAGTGGCCCCGTCGTTGCCCTCTGTGGCCCCGCATTATCTGCCTTTCGTGGCCCCCGCTCGTTCGCGCCCTTCGTGGCCCCCTTTCTGCCCTTCGTGGTCCCGCTGTCGCTCTCGTTCTCGCTTTCGCTCTCGCTTTCGCTCGTCGTCATCATCATCGTCGTCGTCGCCGTCGTCATGGTCGGTCCCCTATCCGTCCCTCTCGGGGTCGGGTTACCGCCGATCAGCGTTGCCTCCAGCAAGGCCGACGGTCCGCGGCCGCCCCACCGCTTGCCGGGGCCCGGCCAGCAGGGAAGAAAGATATGTCCCCCCAAAAGAGTACGATCGCAGACGAAGAGGGCGGGTATCGAAGGTTTGGGGAATATGCGTTGGCAAGAGCTCGGGAAGATAAAAGAAACCAGCTTTACAATGATTGTAGTAGTTGTTGTTGTTGGGGTTGTTGCTGTTGTTGTTGGTAGTGTTTGCATTGCTGCTGTTGATGACGTTGGCGTTGTGGTTGCTGGTGTTGTTGCTGTAAGTGTTGTTGTCGGTGTTGTGTTTGTTGTTGGTGTTGCTCTTATTGTTGTGGTTGGTGTTGCTGTTGTTGTTGCTGTTGTCGTTGTTATTGTTGTTGTTGAGTCGTGGGGTCCGCACTTCCCGAAGACAAATATTGTTGGTGCCCCTCCCGTAACTATTATGGGTTTCGCTCGAAGTGCCCCCCTCGGGGGTCGCACCCTGTCCTTTATAACGGAAGGCTTGGCGCAACAACACTGCACCCCTGGCCTTCGAACTACAACAACATCTGGCCACGCCCGATACTTCCGCGAGATGTATTCCAAACTCGCGCTGTCGCGAGGGACTTCCTCACAAGTTATGCAGGAATCGCGCTCTCGCGTGGGACTTCCTCGCAAACTATTCGGACGCCGCGCCTTGGACACTCAGCTCTCGCTTTGGCCTTCCTCGCGATCTTCTTGAGAATCGCGCTGTCGCTCGAACTCCCTCCGCGATTCATGCAATTTTCACGCTTCAGCATGGCGCCTTCGCAACCTAGCCTCTTGGACCCGCCTTCCCGACCCGCCCTGTTAGGGTCTAGCCGCCCGATCTGCCCGTCTGGTCCTACCACGTGGATTATGTTCTTAACCCCCCCCCTCCTGCTAATATCTCTCGTGATCCCCCCTCCCCCCTCCCCCTTCCGTCCGTCCTCCCTTTGTTGTAGGGGCTGCACTACCTGCGCGTGATAGGTTCAAGACTACCTCTCCCTGAGAAGGTGCGGTCGAAGACGAAGCAGGCGGGCACCAATTGTTTTGAATCTGCGTGTTGGGTGGCATGCGGGCCGATGCGCACGAACAAGCTGATCGTGTTCCATCCTGCTTCCTCCCCCTTTTCATCCGCCATGTCTTCCGCTGTTTTTGGAAACTGCGCTACATTCGTGTAGCAAGTGGGGGAAATACACCCTGATGAGGGGGCAGAACCGAAGACAACAGGAACGGGCGCCGTGGGTTTGGGACATACGTGTTCAATGGCACGCGGGCGAGTAAGAACGAACAGTGTTCAAATCAGTGTTGTAATTGTTGCTGCTGCTGTTGTGGGTGGTGCTGTTGTTGCTGCCGCCCTCGCCCGCGGCCCGCCCGCGACCCCCCCCCCGCGACCCACAGCGCGCCCCGCCCGCGACCCGCACCCAGCGCTTTGACGAAAGCTCGTGTAAGGGAAGTCGGCAAAATAGATCCGTAACTTCGGAAAAAAGGATTGGCTCTGAGGGTTGGGTATAGGGGTCATTGGATTAATGTTCGAGCTGAGCAGAAACTACTTGACGCCTTCTGGTGGATGCGCCTGCGGCGGGCCCGTTGCGCAGTGCGTACGGAATCGGCGCCTGCGGCGGGCTTCTTCGGAGCGTCGCAGACTGCCGACGACCCCGCTGTCCCGCGTCTCTTGTCCGCAACTGCGGGGTGCTACGAGATCTATATCGCATCGATTGCGCAGCAGTCCGGCGCATGACCAAACTAAGAACAGTGCGAGGGCAGCACATACCACATGGGGAAATCGCACATGGGGAAATCTAACATGCAACCCACATGGTTGCCCAACGTGCGCTGGGATAGACTGTCTGAGAAATCCGCGGCCTGCTCGAATGCAAAGTGCGGCCACTATGAGAAGGACTAGCTACGCCTCAGCAAACGTGCTGCGCATGGCGCACGGGGTGGAAGCGGGGAGGGGGGAGGAGGAGGAGCAGGGGGAGGAGGAGGAGGAGGAGCAGGGGGAGGAGGAGGAGGAGGAGGAGGAGGAGGAGGAGGACCTATATATGCGACCACACCGGGGCTCCAAGAGCTCACTGATCTCGGTGAGATCGCTCGTGCAGGAAGACTGCCGTATACAGATCGGAGCAGAACGTCCGTGGGCCCGTGGCCAACAGGGATGCTAAAGCTCGCTTGGCGCGGGTGCTCACGCGGGGCTCGAGCTGCTCCCAGGCAGGGCGTGTGAGCTAGGCTTGGTGAAATCAGATCCCTAGGAATTGGACCGCTTCTTCATCTGCCTGTTCGTCACCAAACTGCGGATCGACTGCTCTGGGGGCAGACGTCAAAAGGACATCCGAAGCACTGCTGCTGCTGGAGACGGTGGGAGGCTCAGCGAAGAGGGGGGGAGAGCCCGATCTGACGAAGCGAACGGGCCTACGCAAATCTCCTGGTGCGAGAGGGCGTCGGCCCAGCACGAGAGCTCCTCCTCCGGCCACCCTGGGGGTGCTACGCCTGTGTGGATCTCCCCCGTCCCCTCGTTCCTGATGGCCGCCAGCACGGCGGGGCACAGCTCCCAGGTTCCCATCACGATGACGAGATTCGTGTCGGTGTCATTGTAGCACTTCTCCGGACGTAGCAGGGGAGACTCCTTGTTCGATGCCCCCTCGTTGCAGCCCTGGAGGCACCTCGTCCGTCCCGCCGCTGTTGGAGCCGTTGACCTTCGCCGGCCACTGCTCCAGGGTCACCTTCATCTCGGCGCCGATGTCGCACTGCGCCAGCGCTTCGATTAACGTCACCGTGAGGCGGGCGGTCGGGGAGCCCAGGGTCTTCAGCGCGGCGGCCGCGTCGGACGCCTTGCGCGCCGACGCGGCCTGGTTGCGAAGGCTGCCGACCTCGCCCCCGACCGCGGCGATGATCGGGTGGGCCGTGGGGAAGATGATCGTGCCGATCGTCGTGGCGACGGCCATCCTGGTGCGGCGCGTGTTCCGCAAGACCAGCTTGCACGGCGTTAGGAGGAGTGCGGCGACGTTCTTGTCCTTCAGTGTTGGCCCCTGCGGCGACGGCCTCCTCGGCGCCGCCTCCGAGGCTCTTTCTGCGTCCCGCCCTCGTCCTCGTCCAGCTGGTCGTCCTCGGCTCGGTGCCGGACTCCGCCCTTGCCCTTGTCGCCCCTCTCGGCCTCCTTCGCCTCGGCTCGCCGCTGGGCAAGCGTCCGCTGCCACCACTACCAGCCTTGTCCGAGGACTCCGGGATGCGCCAACTCGCCCGTGACGTCTCCATCAGCGCGGCGTGCAGGTTGTGCTTCTCCACGTGGTGCGGCAAGGCGTACAGGTAGAACGGGTGTGGACGGTGCTCGCGTTGGGCCCAAGGTAGGTGCCAACGGTGTAGTGGTCGGAGCGGCTGCCGCAAGCCGAACTTGTGGTCGTCGAGCTGGTAGTCCTTGAGCAGGAGGTGGAGGCGGCACCACAGGCGCCGTGAGGCGCGCGGGACATCAGAACGTGTACTCGCGGTGTCGGTGGGTGTCCACGCTGGCCGCGTCGATGATGATGCTGATAATGATGATGTTGATGATGATGATGATGATGACGATGATGATGATGATGAAGGTGATGATGGTGGTGATGATGATGAGGATCATGATGATGCTGATGATGATGGTGGTGATGATGATGAGGATGGTGATGATGATACTAATGATGCTGATGATGATGATGCTGATGCTGCTGATGATGATGCTGATGATGATAATGATGATGAGGAGGATGAGGATGAGGATGATGGTGATGATGATGATGATGATGATGTCAATGATGATTATGGCGATGATGATGATGATGATGATGATGATGATGATGATGATGATGATGATGTTGGTGATGATGATGATGATGATTAGTATGATGATAATGATGCTGATAGCGATGATTAAGATAATGATGTTGATGATGTTGATGTTGATGTTGATGATGATGATGCTGATGCTGCTGATGATGATGATGATGATGATGATGATGATGATGACGATGACGATGATGGTATAATGAGGATGAAGATGAGGATGAGGATGAGGATGCGAGGGAGGAGGAGAGGTGGGATGGGGAGGAGGGGGAGGACGAGGAGGAGGAAAGGGATGACGAGGAGGAGGAGGAGGAGAAGGAGAAGGAGAAGGAGAAGGACGAGGACGAGGAGGATGAGGAGAAGGAGGAGGAAGGGGGATGGGGAGGAGGTGGAGGAGGAGGAGGAGGAAGAGGAGGAGGAGGAGCAGGAGGAGGAGGAGGAGGAGGCAGAGGGAGGGGAGGATGAAGGGGGCGTCTGCAGACTGACGCCTGGTGCAGGACGGCTCTGCACGGCCACGGAGCGCACAGCCTGCCAGAGCTCACGGAGTGGCAGCACGACTCACTGAAACTGCGAGACTGGAGGAGGAGGAGGTCATGAGGGGCAACGACAGGGGGGGACTGGCATAGGGTGGGGATGCATCGACCTGGAATCGGCGATACATCGCGGATAGATCGGCGATAGGCCTTCGATCGTGAATCCGCACCTTCCTCGGCAGGTTGGAGCTATCGGGCCCCAATCGGCGATCAATGGGCGATTTGGGGTCGATGCATCCCCCCCTATGCCTATCCCCCCTATAGTTGCCCCTGAGGTCAGGGGGGAAGGGCAGCTACCCCGGACCAATGTGAATGCGTTGTGTTCTTCTTCCGGGCGCTGCCTTAGGGGGGGCGATAGAGGGGGGGAGGAGAAACGCGCACCTTTTGTGCCAGGCACCTTCTATAGCCTAGGAAACAAGAAGCGAGCCTTCTTTATCCTTCGCTCATCGCCCCCCCATTACGCAACGCCCGATTCTTCGGTCCACATGGCACTGTGGCCCAGGCCCCTCTGGCCCCCCCACCTGCCATCCCCAGTCCTCCCTGAGAGGCAGCGCGTCCGGAAGAGGTGCTAGGCGCCGCAGCTGTTCCGGAGCACCCCCCCGAACGCTCCACGGGCGCTCCGGAACTCGCCGGGACGCCGCAAGCCACTCTTCGGGTGGCGCCAAGAGCGCGTGCGCTACAATTCGCGATCACGGCCTTGATCGGGGTTGCGCCCTCCCCCCACCCTGGTGACCTCACGGTCCGCGCCGGCGCCGTTTGGAACTTGCTGGGGGTAGCTCGTTCTGGGAGGACGGCGCCGGCGCGAATCGTGACGTCACCTGCCCCCTCGCCCCCCCCCATCCCTCCGCCCCCCCGCGGCAACGAAGGGGGGGCCAGGGGAGGTGCTGAAGGGCGAGGAGGGGGCCACGAGATCTGGGTGTTCCCCTCCTCCCCCTCCTCCTCCTCCTCCTCCTCCTCCTCCTCCTCCTCCTCCTCGCCCCCCCATCTTTCCGCCCCCCGCGGCAATGGCCGTGATCGTAAGGGGGGGGGACGCTTGCCCCAGGACGAGGGGGGTGCGCATCGTGGCCCGAGACACGCGCGCGGACAAGAGGGGGCCAGGGGGCGGCTTGAAGAAGAAGAGAGGAGGAGGAGGAGGAGGAGGAGGAGGAGGAGGAGGAGGAGGAGGAGGAGGAGGAGGAAAAAAGAGGAGGAGGAGGAGGAGGAAAGAGGAGGAGGAGAGGAGGAGGAAAGAGGAGGAGAGGAGGAGGAGGAAAGAGGAGGAGGAAAGAGGAGGAGGGAGGAGGAAAGAGGAGGAGGAGGAGGGGGAGGAGGAGGAGAAGGAGGAGGAGGAGGAGGAGGAGGAGGAGGAGGATAAGGAGCAGGAGGAGAAGGACCATGATGTACACCACCCTCTTGTGAGGGGGGGGCGTTGGCGGGGACCGGCTCAGTGGGGGACCGACTCGGGGGGGAAACATGGACCAGGAATCGGCGGCACATCGCCGAGAAAGCGGCGACAGGCCCCGGTCGGCGACGAATGGGCAATCGGGGGTCGATGCGCTCCTCCCCTGAGCCCATGGCCGCCTTGGGTCCCACTTCGGGCCTCTGGCGGCCGCTCGGGACGATCCGGACACCCCTCGCACGCTCTCGGCGAGGCGCAGCCTCTGCAGAGCTGTAGAGCACACACACCCTGAAACATCGCGAACCTCGACACTTCGCCACCACCCCCTCGGAGCGCATCCACCCCTCGCGCGGCCCCTGACCTCGGACGCCCACGGAGCACCCGAGCGCCTGAGCGGGCCAGGGCGGGGCCGGGGCGGGGGTGGCCAGGGCGAGCGCGGCGGGCGGCCTGGAAGATGTTCGGCTCGCTGCGCGTCAGCAGGAAGTCCTTCTGGCTCTGCTCCTTGCAGAAGGCCTGGCGACGGGCGCGGCCGCCGCCGCCGGGGCGGGGCAGGTCGGCCGCGGGCGCAGGCGCACCCAAACCGCCTTCCGCAAGCAGGGCTGGCACTGAGGGATTTTTTCACTTCGCTTGCTCATGGAACTGGACGGGTGCGTTGGGTGTTCGCCACGCTGCTGGCCCGTGCCGCCTGTTGGGTGCCACGCACTTGGGTGTGTGAGTGTGTGTGTGTGCGTGTGTGCGCGTGTGTGTTGTGTATGTGCTGTGTGCTGTGCCTGTGATTTGTGTGTATGCTGTGTGGATTGTGTGTTATGTGTTGTGTGTGTTGTGTATGTGTCGTGTGTTTGTTGTGTGTGTATGTGGTGTGAGTTGTGCGTGTTGTGTGTTGTGCGTGTTATGTGTGTTGTGTGCTGTGTGTGGTGTATGTGTGTGCTGTGTGTTGTGTGTGCGTGTGTATGTGCGTGCGTGCGTGTGTGCGTGTGTGCGTGTGTGCGTGCGTGTTTGTGTTGTGTGTGTGTTGTGTCATAAATGTTGTGTGTGTTGTGTGTTTTGGGTTTTCGCCGCGTTGCCAACCGTGCCGCCTCGTGGGCGCTTCGTGGGCGTTCCATAGCGTACACCACACAGCTTACACCGATCAGCTCGCACCACGTAGCTTACGCCGCATAGCTCACACCACAGACTTAGCTTACACCGCATCGCTTACACCGCAGATGTGTCACGCCGTAATTTACACGGCATAGCTTGCACCACATGGCTTGCAACGCCTAGCTTCCGCACCCATAGCTCACACCACTACGGTGAGGGCATTGAATCAGGAACCATCGAATAAGGCGTCCAGGGTCTGGAAGCCAGCGGGGCTCCGATCGTGGACTGGCCATGGATATCACCGCCGCCCTCATGAGAGAAGGAATCCCCCAGGGCCTGAAGCCTCCTGGGCACATTCCCTGTCCAAGGCCCCCACCGTAGCTCACGTACACGACATAGCTGTCATTGCATAGCTTTCACCCCCATGGCTCTCACCACAGAGCTCACACGACGTTGCTTGCACCACGTAGCTCGCCCAGCATAGCTCTCCCCCTCACGGTGCGGACAGACACTGTTTCGGGTTCCCGCCGACGTCCTCTCGCAGTGAACAAAAATCGCGGCGGGGAGCTCTGACCGTTTTTGCGGCCTCTGGGGGGGAGGGGGGGGCCCTGGCCGAGCCCCAGGGCCGCCACCGAGCGGTTCGGGATGAAACCTCGGCCCTGGAGCAAAGGTCCAGATCATCGTCGTCGCCAAAGCCGCCGCCGCCGCCGCCGCCGCCGTCGTCGTCGCCGGAATCGTCGTCGTCGTCGTCGTCGTCGTCGTCGACGCCGGAGTCGTCGTCGCCGTCGTCGTCGGAGTCCTGGCGCGCGCGGGGCGCAGGAGCGCCCGCCGGTGTGGCGCCCTCGTGTTGCTCCTCCTCTGCCCGCGGGCGCGCCCCGACCCCGCCCCGCCTGGCACCTCACAGGGGTGGTCTTGCGCCCCGGGGCCCTTTCTTGAGGGCCCCGGTGCCGGAGAGGGACCCCAGGGTGAGGTCGGGCGTGTCCCCCTAGCGGCGGTTCTTGGACGAGCAACAAAACACACCCCAAACATGCTAAAAACATAATAAACATTGTCGAAACAGAGTCCCCAGACTATTCTTGATCATTTTTGAAAATCCCCCCTGTATTGAGCAGGGACCGACCGTCCCGGCATCCCTATAGTCATACCACGAAATGTTCTTAGAGCCCAAAAATCATCTAATAACAAAAACAATGTTCTTAGAACGTAAGCCCGACCGATGTGTTAAAACAAGACAGTCCCAGCCAGAAATGTTCTAAGAACATTTAGTGGGAACCACAAAAGGTTCTTAGAACATTGTTTGGTGGGGCTATAGGCGAGCCCGGACGCTTCGCCACTGCTTGACTGTAGAGGTAGAGGGACAGGCCCGACTTGACCCAAGGGCTCTCCACAAGCTGTGGGCAAGAGGCGCCGCGGCGGACACGAGTCTCCCCTCGTCGGGGGCCTGCGGGGCCCTCGGCCTGCCCCGGCACCCCGGCGCCCCGTGGTCGCTGCTGACCTGGCCATCGCTCGGGCGTCCAGTCCCTGTGCTTTTTGTCGGCTTCGTGCGTGTTCCTTTCGCCAGATGATCGAGGATGCTCCTCGATGGTCCCCGCCGAAGGAACATATGCACACGTCCGAGCGATGCCAAGGTACTGGGGGAGTGGGCGACGCACGGAGGGGGTGCGAACACACGCGCACCCTTCGCGCCCCTGTTGGGCCCCAGAGGGCTCCTGGAGGGCCCCTCTTCGCCCCCCCTGCACGTCGTTCGTTTCTCATCGTGCTCATTCCTAGTTGTGCTCGTTTCTAGTTGTTCCTGGCCCCCTGGTGGCCAGGGAGACGCCCAGGACAGAACAATTAGGAATGAAAGGATCTTGGCCCCCCACAAAATCAAACGACTTTCGAATACTTAGACATGAACAACGTGTATCCATCGCCCCTCCATCACCGAGGAGAGCACAACCCATCCCAACAACCAGACAAGAACTTCACTCCCGACCTGGTGATTCAGGGGCTCCTGGCTGGGGTCGGGATTCGGGGGTGTTCTTTTGGGGGCTCTCGGGGGCCAGAAAAAACACCCTCACCCCCGAGCCAGGGCCCCCTAAATCGCAAGGTCAGGATAAGCGGTCCTGGCTGAGGGTGAGGGTGGGTTGTGCGTCCCTTCATTACGCGACACCCGAGCCGTGCCCCCCCCCCCGTGATGGTTCGCATCCCTTACCATTCTGTCGATTCGGTTCCGGAGCATGAACGTGGCCCACAGAAGGCCGATCGGCGCATTAGCGCCGCCGTCGTGAAGCTATTGTCGAGCTCTGGCTGATGGAACGGGCCTCGACCTTTCGTGGGGCGAGGAAAACAGCAAAATGGTGAGGGAAGAGCCTGCTCCCCCCCCCTCTTGCCGTCGCTCGGACGTCCCTTTTCCGTGCATGCTTCAGCTTCGCGCGTGCTTTTTTTCGCTCGATGGTCCAGGATGTTCCTGAAAGGTCCTCGCCGAGAAAAAATACACACGTCCGAGCGATGCCAGGCCTTCTCCCCGCCAAGAGAGCGCCCGCCCGCCCGTCCGGCCCAGGCAAGGCCTCTCTTGGGCGGCCCCGTGCCCCGTGCGCGTGCGCACGCGGGCGTGCTCCCCCCGGCGCCCGCGCGAGCGCCTTGCCGCCGCAGCAGTGGCAGCCCGCCCCCCCCCCCCGTGGGTGAGGAAGCCCTGGGGCGACTTGCACAGTCGGGGCGTTGACCAGAGGAACCCTAAATCAGGAACGAGGCCCCATTTCTCCCACAATGTAAGCTCCGATGGCCCATCGAAGACATGAGGAAAACCTGAGGCAAGCTGTGAAACACTCGAGGAACACCGAGCCCCTCCCCAACGAAAAGGGTTCCTTCTTCAGCGCCCCGACTGTATCTCCACCCTTTTTTCAATGAAAAAGCTGGTATCTCCACCCTATACGACAGGCCTCTCACGTAGGGTCCGAGTAGATGGGGTCGGGGGGATCGTGCCGCACTGGCGATGCATCGGCGGCGTCGCCGACGCATCGTCGCCGTGGACGTGGAGGAAATCAGTCTCTACATCGAGCTGCATCAGCGATGCATCGGCGGTGCGGCGCTATCCACTAACTCCGTCTGCTGGGACCTCTCTGGGAGGCCTAGATGTACAGTCCCAGAGATCCGATGTCGTGATTTTTTCAAGACGGGGTCCCCGGAAGTCTCGACCCATTCCCCAGGACTGGTTTTTCACCCTGAGTCGTTTTTTGACGGTCCCGAGGCCCGGCGAGGGTCCCTGGGGGGCGAAATTTGCGAAACACCTGCGTCTTGATTTTTTCATTACGTTGGATCTCTGGGGTGGAGGCCTTGGACAAGAAAACCTTGGACAAGGAATCCACGGTCTCGCGACCCATGGACGGCTGGTCGTGGGCCGCCCACCTCGCCTCGAAACGGGCGCCAGAGCCTGGACCCCCAAGAGGACGGTCCACATCCGGTGCCCCCGCCGTGCCGTCGCAGGAATGCACAATACTTGGTTCTTGTCTTCCCCACCAATTCCCATATTTTCCCATACTTTGTGGGGGATCGACGACTAATTGTGTCTGTGTGTTTTCTTCCCTCCTGAACAATACAAGGAACGAAGGGGCCTTCCTGGCCACGGCAGAAGCCTGGGCCACAAACAGGTTCCACAACCTGAGCCTGCGCAAAAACCCTGGAGCCCGAGACCCTCCTGAGTATCGTTTGCCCGATCCCCAATCCCCAACGGCGTGGCCTGGGCCCCACTGGCCGATTTACCCACCTGGATGGGGATATAGGCCGTTCCCTTCGGGTTTCGAGGGGTATATCCCCAACTGGAGTGGTAATGTGGTGGGGGTCCCGAAGGTCGGGGGCGGCCAAGAGAGAAGTGTCCAAGAGGGGGGGGGCGCAAATCATGGCCAGCGGCATGTGCCCGGCCCAGCGGGGGGGCCAGGGACGCAATGAAACAAGAAGAGGCGCCATGAGATCTGGGGAAATGTCATGGCCCGCGCCATGATCTCCACCCCCCCCTCGTCATCACCCCCCTCTTGTCCGCCCCCGAGAAGAGGATGGGGATGGGGATGGGGATCGGATAAACGGTACTCCAGCCTTCGTAATAAAAGGGAGGGGGTCTGGACCCTCCAAGACAAGCCATTTCAGACCTCCCCCGTGGGAGAACCCTCCAAAACATCGTCCCCAGACCCCCCCAGGCCCTCCAAGATAGCCTGGAGGAGACCCCCCCGAAATGAGACCCCCCTCCCTTTATTACAACATCTGGAGTGCATCTAGGCCTCCCAGAGAGATCCCAGCAGACGGAGTTGGTGGATAGCGCCGCACCGCCGATGCGTCGCTGATGCAGCTCGATGTAGAGACTGATTTCCTCCACGTCCACGGCGACGATGCGTCGGCGACGCCGCCGATGCATCGCCGGTGCGGCACGATCCCCCCGACCCCATCTACTCGGACCCTAC